GTAAGAAACAAGAAAATTCCTAACATCAATATGAGAGGAAGAAACTAGCTTCCAATAATCCAACCAATCAGAACAACAACCAAAAAAATCATAAGAACTAGAAAACCTTTCTCAATAGTGATAAAAAATAGCCTCAACTCACTAATGCAAAAATCACATACTGGATTTTAAATCAAAATTCAACTACCTATGCTCTCTAACAAGAAACAGAGTGGCAAAGACAACCAAACACAGAGTCAATGGGTGGAAAACAACCTTCCATGTAATGGAAGCCATGATCAAACTGATGTGATTCTCATGTTTGATGAAAGTAGAATTAAAACCAAAATTAGCCACAAGGGATAAAGAGGGCTAATGCCTGTTAATAAATGGAACAAGTCATCAAATAGACATAACAATTTTAATTATTAGTACAATAAATAGTGGGGCCTCATTGTCATGAAAAAGCACTGAAGTTATGATCATATAAGTACTGATACAATGAGAGAGGAAAACTTCAATATTCCCCTCTCATCTTTAGATGGCCCTTTAAAAAACTCAAAATCCACAAAAATGGACCTAACAATACACATCAATTGGATTTGACATACATCTACGTAATATTCCAGGCAACAGACAGATAATAAAACAAATGAAGTCTCTAAAATTGATCACAATAGGGGACAAAGCAAACCTTAAAAACACTACAGTCAGTAGTGATGAATGTAGAGATCCATCCTACCCAAGACACTGAGAATAAATGACAGTTGAGGACACAGTCTTTTTGTTTTGTTTTGTTTTTGTTTTGCGAGACAGGGTTTCTCTGTATTGTTTTGGAGGCTGTCGGTCCAGCCCGGCCTCGAACTCACAGAGATCTGCCTGCCTCTGCCTCCCAAGTGCTGGGATTAAAGGCGTGCACCACCACCGCCCGGCAAGGACACAGTCTTAAACAAGACATTTATATAACACCCTCTAAGGCTCAGAGAACAATGAGGAAGAGAGGGCAAGGAAGTGTATAAGAACTAAAAGATAGTGTGGAGCTTTGAAATCCTGTCCTTGCATTTGATGTAGCCATTGCAGATAGGAAGTCATAATAATTAGGAGTCTTAGTTCCTGATCTGTTGCTGTGAAGAGACAACATAACCAAGGCAACTCTCATAAAATAAATCATTTAGTTGGGGGTCTTGTTTATAGTTTTAGAGAGTTATTAGTCCATGATATTCATGGTTGAAAGTAAACAGGCATGATGCTGAAGTAGTAACCAAGAGATTTACATCCTGATCGAGAGAGAGAGAGAGAGAGAGAGAGAGAGAGAGAGAGAGAGAGAGAGAGCGAGCCTGGAGTGAGCTTTTGAAACCTCAAAGCCCACCCCCCAAAACACATCTTCTCCACAAAAGCCACACCCACTCCATAACAAGGCCACATTTCCTAATCCTTCCCAACCAGTTACAGTCTCTGGTGACTAAGCAGTCAGTGACCCTATGGTGTCCATTCTCATTTGAAACACAATAAGGCTACCAGAACTGGTTCTGTAAATAATCTGTCTTGAAAGGGGTATGATGACTAATGGAGCCCTATCCTCTACTGCTGAAATATTTGGCTACTGATAAGAAGATTCTGTAAAAGGGAGCATCATTGTCTGGTACCCACTGCTAAGCCCTTCAGTTTCTAAAATAGTTCCAAATCTATGGTTATACAGATGGCCCTGGTTAAGCTCAATGGGTCACAAAATAAATCAAATAGACATAATATGAGAATGATTTTTTTAGAGAAGTAGGGGAGTAGACAGGTAGTAAGGAGACAGGAGAGTTGGAGGTATGAGAGGAGTCAGTATGCATTATGTAAATGTGTGAAATTTTCCAAGAATGAATTTAACAATGCTAATAGATAATTTATTAATTAAAAGTTCTAAAATGGAAAATTGAAAAACAGAATAAGAGTAATTACTTATATGCTATCAGAATATATTGAAATAAAACAGAAATCAGCACCAACAGAAACTACACAAACACCTGGAGACTTTAAAATACACTTTTGATTGAATAGTAGGTCACTGAAAAAATCAGGGAGGATTTTTAGTATTTTTTCATTTTTAATGAATAATTTCATAATTGTATATAATTCATTGTGATCATATTCATTCCCCTATTACCTTTTCTCTCTCCTAATCCTATTGACCCCCCTTTTCTTCTCTCTTTTTCTTCTTCTTCTTTTTTTTTGTGACTTTGGAGGCTGTCCTGTAACTAGCTCTTCTACAAGGCTGGTCTCGAACTCAGAGAGATCCACCTGCCTCTGCCTCCCGAGTGCTGGGATTAAAGACATGTGCCACCACCACCTCACCCCCTTTTCTTCTCAACAAGTATCCCAGCATATCACACCAATGCCACCATGTTAGCCTCCCAATTGTCCCTTGGACAGAGGCTGTCCAACTCCCACTCATGACCTCTGAGACCCTGTGCCCCGGTACTCCACCTGGCAGGTCCCACCTATTTCTCTTCCAGAGGCTGGCAAACTGGAAGCTTCCTCCTTTCTGGTTAATGTTAATAGTGCCAGAATGTGCTATACTGGTAGAAAAGGGAAAGGTATCAGTGATCATCCCTGCTGATGACCCTCTATGATACAATACCATCTTAGTTACCTTTCCATTGCTGTGATAAAATGCCCCCAACTAAAGCAACTTAAAGGGTAAAAGGCTTATTTTGGCTTAGAGTGCCAGGGAGATATAATCCATCATGGTGGAGGAAAACATATCAGTAGGCAGGAAAGGCAGTAAACAGAAAACTGGGCTGTATTGGTCAGAAAAACAATGACTCCCAAAGGAAGTAGCACTATTAGGAGGTGTGGCCTTGCTGGACTAGGTATGGTCTTTTTGGAGGAGGTGTGTTACTATGGGGGCAGACTTTGAAGTCTTTTTCTCAAGCTTCACTCAGTATGACAGTCAGTTGACTTTCTATTGCCTCTGAGTCAAGATGTAGGACTCTCAGCTCCAGCACCACATCTGCCCGCACATTGTCATGCTCCACATTGTGATGATAGTGGACTGGACCTCTGAAACTGTAAGTGAGGCACCCCAATTAAATGTTTTCTTTGTAAGAGTTGCTCTGGTCATGGTGTCTCTTCACAAGAATAGTAAACCCTAACTAAGACAGAGGCCATGCTATACGTCAAGGCCTTCCCCCAGTAATTCACTTCCCTGGGTTAGACTCCTACTAAATGTTACACAACCTTCCCAAACAGCAGCAACAGCTGGCGGTCAAGTATGAGAACCTATAGCTGGTATTTTGCAATCAAGCCAGAACAAATACCTACCTGACAATCAAGGTACTTCCAATGATACAAAAATGGCATGACTGCTATGGGACAAATCAACTGCTTTGTTGTTGGAGTTGGGGCCTCTTACATTGGACAGAACTCATGCCTGGGATTATAAACCTGATCAAAAGCCCACACTTAGGGGCAGGCCCAATGGAAAATCTATTACATTTAGTTTGCTAAATGGATGCTGTCATGACATCTTCTAAATATTTGTGCTTATACCCAACATAAGTGCTGCTGTAACCGTTCATCAGAGTTTATTTCTACAGTGAATGGCAGTTGATTCAGAGACTCAACTGTTCCAAAGACTGAGAGTAAGCGACTGTTCCATGTTCAGCATTAAATGGAACATCTTTATCACCCCCTCCAAGGACTAGAGAAAAGAATGTGGAAAGAATTGAGAACGAGAGATTGGGGAGAAATGCTATGAAATGCTATTTTCTGGACATGGTATGGCCACTGCAATCATGAACACTCAAAACTTACCTGCACAATATCCACACAAGATCAGGCCTATCAACTTTCATAAGATTCCAATGCACTCTGAGGCGCTTTGGGCAGTTAACTGGCTGCCAAGGGTGGGGTAGTTCTTTTCCACAGTAGTGTAGCTACTAGTAAGACCCAACCAAATACTACGAAATATCCCCCACCCATGCTCATTCAAGCAACTGTATTAAATTTATGTAGTCAAAAAAGCAAGCATGAAAGTAGGAGGGGAACTAGTTGGATGGAAGAGATGGTTCAACATGACAAGGAGTGAACAAGAAAAAATATTAGGAAATGAATCTGATACATTGTAGCCATGTATGAGACTGTGCATAAAACCTCATATTGTATACATGTTTGAAACTGTACAATTTTTTTTGTAAAAACCAGCAACTTTTCTAATTATCAATAATGAATTTGGAGGGAAAGAATTCATGAAAGTGATCCCAACAAAATCAGTCAGAAAAACACCTTAGAATAAACTTGCCTAATTGCATATAAGATCCCTCAAATGATTATTATAAAATGCTGAAAATACAAAAGGAAGACACTGAAAGTTGGAAAGCCTTCTAATGTTCATGAAACTAAATGAAGCTAACTAAATGAATGAAGCTAACTAAAACACAACTGATAATTGAAAATTGACTGTGTAGCCACCCACTGGAGAGTGGTTGACCTACCAGAGGCCATAGAAAACTGACTCTCCATTTCCAACAGCTGTCAATTACCAATAGGTTCACAACTAAGGCTAAAACTCTGTGGTTACCTCCTCTACCAATACTGACAGTGTGTCTGGTTTAGCTTGTGCAGATCTTGAGCATGCTGTCACAATCACTGTGACTTCATAAGAGCAACTGCCCTATGTGTCTGCTTTATATTTCCCATGTCTTTAAGTGATTCAAACACTAAGAAGGCTTCACTTACCAATCAAAGTCCTAATCCCTGTGTGTAAACATAAAGCTGGAAGAAAGACAAGAAGTGAATACAAAAGAGGACAGGCAGAGCAATGAAGAAGAAATGGCTCATTGCAAAAGGTTCTTTCACTATATCCCTTAAAGGCTACAGGTTTCATGATTTGTTTGTTTGTTTGTTTGTTTGTTCCGAGACTGGAGGTCTGCCTGCCTCTGTTGCCTGAGTGTTTAGCTTAAAGATGTATGCCACCATGCCCCGTGGTTTCATGATCTTTTAACCCGCCATAATAACTTCCATTACGGACCCACCTGGAGGGGTTTTATCTAGCTGACTATTGCTTGATGATTTAGGCTTTTGGACCCCATTTTCTGTCTCACTAGAGTCCTTCTTGGATGTAGTTTTCTTGGTCTTGGGCATGTTGGTGGTATCTGAAATGAAAGGGGAAAGATGGAAACATAACATACGGGTCCGACTCAAGGACAAGGTGGGAGGAGCTTTTCAACTGCTGTCGTGGGCCTTTGTGACTTAATTACTATTTCTTGTTGAGGATAAAAGTGCTTCGAGGGCGTCTCAGAGAAAAAAATTAGAGTCCTCAAACGTATCTTAAGGATAACTTGCGACCAGTGAAACTTCCTTTACTAAAATAGAAGATTAGTGTTAACATTGAACAAGCAAAAGAGCAACTATGATCCAAAAATGAACTCATCAAAAGGAAGACACAAGACGTTACCGGCAAAACTAAGAAACGGTTGTTCCTCGTTCATTTTCCTTCCTGGTCTACCTAGAGGTTTTGTATCCCAACCTTGGATAACAGGGAATATTCACACACAAAGCCTACCTGGTTCCTTAACTCTTACTGGTCGTTGGTATTTGACTGCTTTCCCCCCGTGATGGCTGCTTGTAACTACTGAAAATCCTTCCGGCTCCCCAGTCAAGGAGATCCCTGGACCATACCATAGCACCCAGGAAGAGGGGATATCATCCGGGAATGCTTTGACAGAACCATTGAAATAATGAGGCTCATGTGGCAAACACCCCTACACATGATGCTAAGTTAGAGAGTCCAAAATGAGTCACAAAGGATGGCAGACTTCCTGGGGAATAAACTGGGAGTTATTTTACACCAAGGGTACCCCCAAACACAAGGCAGACAGACAGACAAACATGTTCACCTTACTACACAATAGAGGCAGGAGGCTAAAATTTCCTGTGTGGACCTTCAGGCTGCTATCCTTCTTTTCAGATTAGAACTAGGGCTTGGTTTCATCTAAAATCAAGAAACCATCCAAAGCTTTTAATCCCACTCCCCCAGATAAGACTCAAAGCTTAGGAAAAGGAACACATTAGTTAGGAAAAGGAACACATTCTTCTTTAATTTCGTGCTGTTCAAAAGTCTCTTTCTCTTACGTTAATTTTAACAGTGAAATACTAGAATAGTGTTTGTATTTCTTATAAGTAAATGTGTCCACAAAAGGCAATGGAGAGAGGTGCCCCCAGACTTTACTAGGCCTACAGACCTTAGCATGACTGACCCCATGATGGAAGTGCCATTCGGGCTGTAAAATTCAGCACATAGAGAGCAACACTTGCCAAAATGAAAACAAAGACATAGTCCATCAAAGTCCGTAATTCTGATAAGGTCTCTAAATGTACTGACCTTGGTTTTCGGTTTCTGTGGCTTCCCTTTGGGCTAATATTTCTTGTTAACTGGAGTAAATATATCATACTTAAAAATCTAACCCTGCCAAAGCCTCAGGGCTACACTGAGATCCCAAATACCCACTGTATGGTCACTGGCCAGCTAACAAAGAATTTCTATTAGCTTGGACCCTTATCTGAGATGCCACATCTGGGGGACACCCCACAGCAGAGGGATAAACTGTTAAAGTCACATTTTACAAACATAGAAATTAAAAGTCATTTAAATTTTCAAGTCATAGAAATTATGTAGTTCACTCTTAGGCATATATCCAAAAGAGGCAAATTCATACAACAAGGGCATCTGCTCCACTATGTTCATAGCAGCATTATTTGTAATAGCCAGAACCTGGAAGCAACCTAGATGCCCCTCAACTAAAGAGTGGATAGAGAAAATGTGGTGCATTTACAAAATGGAGTATTACTCAGCAGAAAAAAAAATGGAATCTTGAAATTCGCAGGTAAATGGATAGCACTGGAAGAAACAATCCTGAGTGAGGTAGCCCAGTCACAAAAAGGCAAACATGGTATGTACTCACTCATATATGGATTTTAGACATGGATCAGGATAGTGCCTGTCTGCACTTCCACTGACAGAGAGTCTGGGAAACAGGAAAGAACCTAAAAGATATGCATGGTACCCAAGAGAAGAGAAATGAGGCAAGATCCTCTGAACAGATGGGGAACATGGCGAGGGGTGGAGGGGGTGGTTGCTGGGAAATAGAGAGGGGTAGAAGAGGAAGAGAGAGTACATCATGGGGAACAGGAAGGTTGAGTGGGGGGGGTAGGATAGGGGGAAGAGGGAATCATAGGTTAGAAGACAGATCAGGCACCATTGTGACCTCTAGTGATCTAAAGGGATAACACCAATTGGCAAGCTAAGCAATAGTGGAGAGACTACCTCGAATGCCCATTCCTGATAATGAACTTGATGTCTATAACCATCCTGGAGCCTTCATCCAGTGACTGATGGAAGCAGAGGCAAACACCCACAGTTAAACACTGAACTGAACCCAAGGAACCCAGCGACAGAGAGAGAGGAGCGATGAGCAAATTGGCAAAGAATGGGCTAGCAAAACCAGCAGAGATAGCTGATCTGAACAGGGGAGAGCTCTTGGACCCCAGACCGACAGCTGGGAGGCCAGCATGGGACTGATCCAGACCCCCTGAATGTGAGAGTCAGTGAGGAGGCCTGGGCAACCTATGAGGCCCTAAGCAGTGGATCAGTGTTTATTCCTCGAATACAAATAGACATCGTGTGTCCATAACACAAAGAGGGATGCTCTCTCAGCCTGGACTCTTAGGGGAGTACTTGGACCCTACCCTGAGTGAAATGATAGACTCTAGATATCCCCTATGTGGAAGGAATTGACAATAGGATGGGAGAATGGGGGGGGACGATGGGGGGATGCAGGAGGAGGGGAGGGAGAGGGAACTGGGATTGACATGTAAAACAAGCTATTTAAAATTAAAATAACAAAAAACATAAAAAAGAAGTTATGTAGTAAAAGAACCAGAGTATGGGGCAGAGAAGGAGCCTAGGTTTTTACTCTTCCAACTGAATTAACAGTCCATTCTCCGTTACAATTCAGTTTAATACTAGCTTACCAACATTACTACCTAAACATAAGCTGAATGGAGGACAGTAGTCATAGTAAAGTAAACCAGGGGGGAAGCTTGGGAAGCCTCAACTCCTCAGAAAGAACTTGAGGCAACTAAGAAATGCTAAGAGAGGGGGGACAGATAGTCTTACCAGGAAAGAACTTTCAGATCAGTTATCCAATATCAAATAGTCTTGAATATATATCCATAGAAGTAATATTATACTGACAGCATGGCACATTTATGTATTTAGAAATTATATAATGTATGTCTAACAACAATTAATGAAAAATAGAAGTCATGAATTTGAAAGATAGCAAGGAGAGATATGCAGGAGTGTTTGGAGGGGAAAGGGAAGGGTGATATATGACCTGAAAATTTAAAAATGATTTTAACAATATTAAATGCTCATATAGAACACAAGGATGCTGGAGTAGATGACTCTTGAGGTACACATGTTGCTTACTTTTAACTTTTAGCCTACTTTGTCACTCCACTAGCTGATTACAAGAGCAAAGTTGACCTGCTTCAATGTTGTAAAAAGATGTTCACTCACTACTATAGTTTGTCCATTGTTTAACTTTACTTAATTTCTCTTAAAAATACTTAATGTTTTATTTTATCTTGTATGTGTGATTTTTAGAATGGGGTATGTGCACCAGGACCTTTACTTAGTTTCTTAACACATTAACTTATGTTTTTCATAAAATAAGACTGTACAGTTCCCAAATTATTATCACAATCATTCCTCACTAGTGACAATAATAGAATGTAGGTATCTTCAGAAAGCTAATTTTGAAGAAATTATAAGTGGTTCAAGAACATCTTAGTCTGAGGAACATGAATTCTACAATCTTGGCATATTCATATACAAGGGAACTTGGACACTAAAGTACCTGTTTAAATGGAGACTATAAAGACTAGAAATTTGCCTCCCTCCTCACCTCCCAGATGTTTATCCTCAGTCATGTCAACTGTTAAATTGTTGTCACACTTAACTCAGGAAAAATGTTCAAAATATATTTCATATTGTTACAGAATTCTCGTAGAAAGGCAAAAGACAGTGAAGGCTTTTACTAGGAAGGAGCCTTATTTGTGCAGGCACTAGCTTGGTGTATTTATTTCCAAAGGCAGAGATCTCTTAGTGCAGTAGAGGGCTATCCTTTCCTCCCACTTAGATACAAACATATATTTTCATTGAGTATTCTATGACTATAGACCTATGACACTAAGATTACAGGAATGTTATCGGGTTGTCATCACACTGTCCACACCGGAACATAAGGCTGCCCATGCATATACTGACATTATGTCATGGTGTACTAAAAGGTCCCCTACTGCTGACAGCCAGGTCTGGCAGGGGCCAGGACCCAAAGAGGAGGTAAGGAGTAGTCTAGGGAAGAATGAGTCAGGCATGACTGACTAGCAGCCAGAGTACTTCTTTATTATACAGAATTCAGTGAGCAGGGATAGATTCATGTGTTCCAAAGCATAGATCATATCATTTTGTTTTCATATACATGTTTCATTTCCATTTGCACATCTTTTAGTCATCATTAGTAAAGAGTTACTGTTTACAATCATTTTTCCTCAAGTTTAGTCATCACTGATAGACAGTTATCTTTTACAATCATTTTTAGTCAACCCCATAACCTGATTTTTAAGAATCTAGAGGCATATAACAACCTATTCTCAGGCTGCCAGTTTTTGCAGCTTCAAGGATGCTATATAGAATGAAAATCTCCAAGCCAGCACAGGCAGAATGCCATGCCCTGTACAGTGTATTATTAAATCTTGATGGTCACAGAGCTCAAGAAAAATGCTCAGGCCAAATCTGTTACAGTTACTACTCAAATTCTGGCATAATAAAAAATTTATGTTTTATATCTTTATAGAACATATTTATTTGTCTAATCTTGGCATTCTTTTGTTCCTTAGTCACTTTTCTAAGAAAGGGAGGTCCTAACACCTCATTCTTTTATCATCCTTCCATCCTTCCACTCCATTCTTTGCCCATCAATAGAAGTCTCTGTATAGGGCAGAGGTTAACTTCAGCTAATCTAATTTTGTTGCTGGATATGTCACATAATCTCCTAAGTGTATAATGTGAAGAGGCTAGCCCATAAAACCTTATTGACCTTGTAAAGTTTACTTTGTTTTCATCATGTTGTTTCTGAATAAGTACAGGGGCAAATGTTTTAAGAATATCTCAGCCGGGTGTAGGTGGTGCACACCTTTAATCCCAGCACTCGGGGAGGTAGAGGCAGGCTGATCTCTGTGAGTTCAAGACCAGCCTGGTTTACAGAGCGAGTTCCAGGACAGGCTTCAAAGCCACACAGAGAAACCCTGTCTCGAAAAACAAAACACAAAGAAAGAAGAAAAAGAAAGAGAAAAAAGGAATATCTCATAGCCTTATAAAGAGACTTATAGCTTCTTTATGTGTGTCACAACCTCCAAGGCATAAAGAAGACATTCAGGTAGATGGGGATATCTCCTTAAAATCGGGAGGGGTGGTATGCTAAGGACTTTAAGGGGGCTTAGAAGGAGTACTCCTGGAAGAGGGCACAAATGATTCATATGAAGTTTCCATCAATACAACATCTCCAAATTGTACAACTATTAA